GGGAAAGAGATTGCACATAACAAACATTGCCTTGTGTTGTGCATTCCCCACGCATCGTCGTTTTCTTGCCACGTTTAAAGACTGCGTGCCGTTTACTGAGTAAATAATAAACAGATGGTGTGCTTTCTTCGTAGTTGAGTTGAAAAAAAAATTATTAAAGGTTTCGAACCTGCGATCTTCGCGTTATTAGCACAACGCTCTAACCAACTAAGCTAATAGGCCCCACGCCTCTAAAGTTTCTTCTTTTCAAAAAATCTTTTTAAATTAAAAATAGATTCTTGAAAAATCTTCCTTCTGGATGAAGCTTTTTTTTCTTCCCATAAAATATCATAAGCGAAAGGAAACAAAAGAACCTGGTCTTCGACTCTTCGCCATGAAAGAAGATTACGAGGTGCGAATTTCTACCCTCAAGCCATGTACTGCTTCTGTTTTAACTCATGGATTCGATGTGTTCTTCGGAATTCGGGCCGAACCCGGGTTTGTTGTTCTTGAATTTGAATGAAGAAATGAAAGCCGCGACCAATTGAAAACTCATGATTCCTGAAATGTCTTAGTTTTCTTTTTATGATATTAAAATCCTCTTGGTTCCTACTGTGGAAACTTCGGTTTTGCTCTTTTGAGATCAAAGGGTGATTTTGTTGTTTTTTTTTTAGGAAATTTTGTTTCTTTGATTGATGAAACTTGAGACCGTCGTATGTCCGAGACTGAGACGTGTGAGAAAGGTACTATAATCTGGTTCATAAAAGCAGATTTCTCATTGAATTGGCTTACATTACGAGCTTAAGAAGGCTGTACTATCGATCTTTGGAAGGTTGATATGTTCTTGGTTGTCGATTCTCCTCGAATGAATCATATGAATTATCTGATTTCCATTGTTAAAGATCGCGCTTGAAGCTTCTTTTCAGCGGCAGAAGACATCTACGAGAGTGTCATTACATCGTTGTTCTGTGATTTGGAAGCAAAGTCTTCAACTTTGGTTGCGACATTTCCGTTTTTCTCTTCTGCACAGATTTAATGGACTTAGGAAAAGGTTTCCCATGCCGGGTTTTCAGATTAGCTTTTGTTCTGCTGTTGGCGATCATCGATTAGCCTTAACTATAGTTTGCTACCTATGTATCATTCCTTGTCTGAGTTGTGGTTATTAGATATAGGTAGACAAGGCAACATTGTTTGTCTGAATCATGAAAGCCTTTAACTTTCAGGAGTGGATGTTGTCCTTGTTCTTTCTTTTTTCCTGGTTGACATGATTCTCTACTTTGTAATTCCTCTTAGATTAGTCTTTCCTCTCCAGAAAAAGGCTAACATAAGCTTATCCGATATCTCTTTGTAATAGTTTGATGAGAAGAAGCAAGCTGTTGCCGATGTATTGTATAATTATTCCAAGTTTGCGATGACTTGTATCGGAAATCAGACCCGAGCGAGTGACGTGAGGTTGCATTTGATGAAGGTAATGGTTTCGACCGTTCAGTTTTTCGTGGAGAATTTAGCGAGATTGACATTTGCCATCATCTTACTGATGAATCTATTCGCAGGAGATCTCGGGGTTGTCAACTTCTCTGAAAAGAAGAGAAGCTGTTTCTCCTGAACCAGCGGGTGAATCATCGAGCTCCGGTACAGCCAGGCTTGATAAAATGGACAGTTTCAGGGCACTATAATTTAAGCCGGTCTATGTCTCATAGCATATATGTTTGCCCATTACAGGGTTAGTATCTTGTCTCTTGAAAAAAAAAAAAAACGTTTTTTAATTCAATTTTACCGTTTGATTTGTCTGTGTCGGTTGTTACGTAACGTTGTATGCCCAAATGTGCAACCATTGAAACAGGATGTTATGCTGTTACTCTGAAATGTTATGCCCATGAACTTGAAGTGAATGGGGGCTGTCTGCATATATTTGTCGGTTTTTGTTTTTGAGTAGTTGTGGACTAACATGGCGGCAGTGGTGGGATCTCAGGAAAGAAAACAAGAAAGTGGTTTAAGGTTTTTGATGAAGCTTCTCATTCAGTGTTCATGCTGTTGAAGGTGAGTATGAACATGCCGTATGATTTACGCCATGGCGTGCGAATTCTATTGCAGGGCCACCAGTGTAACCTCCCACTGCAGCAACGAGGAGGAAAGTTTCCTGAAAAAGTTCTGTGAACGTGATCCTCGGATCAGACATCATGGGATCAACAATGGCTGAAGCAGCAACTGGTAAATCGGTAACACAAAAGACGGGTGCTGCAGCTTTCTCCAAATGGTAACCATTTAAACTCTTCCTCAAACCTGTTAGATCCATCCATGGCGGTGAACCAGATATAGGAGAGTTTCATAATATCTTTATGAATATTTTGATATCTCTCAATTATAGGAAGTTGTTGTAATTAGGTCTAATATACGTGTGTATATATATCATCATAAACCATCAATAGAAGTTAAGCATTCCAATTATCTTACATGGTATCATTGAGCCTATTTTGTCTAACGACATAACCCTACAGCCGCCGCACTTCTCCCTTTTCTTCCTGACGACGTTATCTTCCGATATCGTCAACCCTTATCTCAATGGCCGCTGATAATACATCCTTGCCCGCCGTCGATGGCACTTCCTCCGGCACAGAAACTGTTGTTTCGTTCAATCCCGTCGAACCTCGCAAATCGCTTCTCACGGTGAATATGACAAATATCACCAAACTTACTCCTTCGAACTACATCACTTGGAGCCTTCAGATCCGTGCCTTGCTCGAGGGCTACCAGCTTGATGGGTTCATCGTTGATGACGGGACTATTCCGTCGGCTACACTCCTTTCCGATGGCACCGGTGGTGTCAATCCTGCTTTCGCACCATTCAAGCAGCAGGATCGCTTGCTTTTTAGCGCTCTCCTTGGCGCAATCTCCGTTCCCTTGCAGCCTTTGATTGCTCGTTCGATCTCGGTTCGTGAAGCCTGGCAAACCCTAGCCAACACTTATGGCAAGGCATCTCGCGGTCACCTCCTTCAGCTCCGAGATCAGATCAAACGCTGTGTCAAAGGTACACAATCTGTTGACGAATATCTCCGCTTCATTACGTCAAAGGCCGATGAGCTTGCTCTCCTTGGCAAGCCCATGGATCTTGAAGACATACTTGATGCTATACTTGATGGATTGCCGGAGGACTACAAACCGATCATTGACATGGTCCTTGCCAAAGATGTTGCCATCTCAGTTGATGAACTACATGAGAAGTTGATCAACCACGAGGCGAAACTAGCTGCGGCAACTCCTCCCTCGTCGCCCTCATTCCCGATCACAGCTAACAACACGGGTGCTCGCTCTCGTCATGGTAACTCTCGTGGTGGTCACGGTCATTCTCGCGGTGGTCATGGTAACCGCAATGCGTCTGGTTCTTCGCGTGGCTATCAAGGTCGTTGTCAAGCTTGCGGGATTTTTGGACATAGTGCGCAACGTTGTCCTCAATTCCGCTTGGTAAATGCTCCTAATTCCTGTGCACCACAGCCCACCTCTCCTTGGTCGGCTCCTTCTCGACCCTGGCAGCCTAGTGTGAACCACATTGCGGTTCCTCCTCATGATCCGAACCCTTGGCTTGTGGACAGCGGAGCTTCGCATCACATCACCTCTGATCTTTCGAACTTGGCGCTTCATCACCCGTATCATGGCTCTGAGGATGTGGTCTTAGGTGACGGTTCGGGTCTTCCGATTACTCATACGGGTTCCGCCTCTCTTCTCTCAAAAGCTCGTTCTTTATCTCTTGAAAATGTCTTATGTGTACCGTCAATGGAGAAGAACTTGGTTTCGGTTTATCAATTGTGTAATTCTAATGGTGTTTCGGTGGAATTCTTTCCCCATTCGTTTCAGGTGAAGGATCTAAACACGGGGGCGCCGCTCATCCACGGACTACCTAAGGATGGAGTTTATGTATGGCCGGCGACCAAGCCTCTTTCCTCACCTCCCACCGCCCTTTCGTGTCTCAAACTCACCTTATCCGATTGGCACTCTCGCTTGGGTCATCCAGCATTTTCCGTCCTTCGTCATATTATTTCTGGTTTTGATGTTTCATTGTCTAAGAATGTCTCTTCTATTCTTTGTGACTCTTGCTCGATTAATAAAAGCCACAAGCTCCCGTTTTCTTTATCTTCATTGTCATCCTCTCGTCCTCTTGAGTTGCTTTTCTCGGATGTTTGGACCTCACCGATTCTTTCGATGGATGGTTTCAAATATTACGTTATCTTCGTGGATCACTTTACTCGATACTCGTGGCTTTATCCTCTCAAACGAAAATCGGATGTCCGAGAAACGTTTGTTCGGTTTAAGGCCCTTGTCGAGAATAAATTCTCCTGCAAGATTTCGATGTTATACTCGGATAATGGTGGTGAGTTTTTAGCTCTTTCATCCTTCCTTGCTACCCACGGCATTTCGCATCATACCACACCACCTCATACACCGGAACACAACGGCATTTCTGAAAGGAAACATCGCCATGTGGTCGAAACCGGTCTCTCCCTTCTTCACCGTGCCTCTTTGCCTCTTACATACTGGCCGTATGCTCTCGCGACTGCCACATACCTTATTAATCGCATGCCAACCTCGGTACTTGGCATGAAGTCACCTTTCGAGTCTCTTTTTAACTCTTCTCCGAACTACTCTAAACTTCGAGTTTTTGGTTGTCTATGTTACCCATGGTTGAAACCTTACACTACCCACAAACTAGCTCCCAAATCAACTCCTTGTGTCTTCCTTGGTTACTCACCCTCTCAAAGTGCCTATTTTTGTTATGACATATCATCATCTCGCATGTATGTCTCCCGCCATGTGGTTTTCCATGAGTCATCATTCCCCTCAGCTCATCGTGATGTCTCCCCCGGCTCACACTCCTCATCTCATCTCTCGGATCCCTCTTTGTCTTCTCCTGTGTCACCCGTCTCTCTTGTTGTTCCATACAGGTCGCCGGTCCCTCGTAGCTCGCATGGTGATTCCCCGTGTGCTGCTCCTTCGCCTTTGGAACATGAGGATACTTCCCCGATGGCTCCTCCTGATCCGGTACCTGCCACCTGTGCCGAGCTGCCTTCGGATGTCTCTCTGGATGCTGTCTCCTCGATAGCTTCTCCCTCACGGAACCGGCACCACATGATGACTCGTGGTAAGAACAACATTACTAAACCGATTAGTAAACTCACCTTGGTTGCGTCGGTTGTGGACTCCAACAGGGAACCCTCTTGTGTCTCTCAAGCTTTAAAGGATCCTCGTTGGAGACAAGCTATGAGTGAAGAGTTCGATGCTTTGGTTCGAAATGGCACGTGGGAACTTGTTCCGTCAGTTACTGCCTCGAACACTGTGGGATGCAAATGGGTGTTTCGCATCAAGAAGAATCCGGATGGCACGATTGATCGGTTTAAAGCGCGTCTTGTTGCGAAGGGATTTCATCAACGACCCGGTATCGACTTTCACGAAACTTTTAGTCCCGTTGTTAAGCCCACAACTATTCGAGTTGTTCTCAGCCTTGCTGTCTCCCGTAACTGGCCAATTCGGCAACTCGATGTTAATAATGCCTTTCTCCAAGGTCACTTATCGGATGAGGTCTACATGTCACAGCCACCCGGTTTCGTTGATAAGGACAATCCTTCGTTTGTTTGTCGGCTACGGAAGGCGATTTATGGACTCAAACAAGCCCCGAGGGCATGGTACTCTGAGCTCCGAAATTTCCTGCTTGCCAGTGGCTTTGTGAACTCCGTGGCTGATGCCTCCTTATTTGTTTTCCGTGAAGCTCGAGCTGAGTTATTTGTGCTTGTGTACGTTGATGATCTTATTGTCACTGGCAGCTGTTCCGAGCGTATTCAAGAGTTTATCTCAGCACTTGCCGCACGGTTCTCCCTGAAAGATCTTGGATCCTTGTCGTTCTTCTTGGGCATTGAGGCTTCCCGGACATCTAAGGGTCTCTTTCTCAGTCAACGTAAGTACATCCATGATCTTCTCTCTCGAACAAATATGCATGACTCCAAGCCGGTTAGCACACCGATGCCCTCTACCTCTCGGCTTACGAGTATCTCTGGATCTCCATTGTCGGATCCTTCTGAGTTTCGAATGGTGATTGGTAGTCTTCAATATCTATCTCTTACACGGCCGGATATTAGCTATGCGGTGAACAAGTTGTCACAGTTTATGCACGCTCCTACCGATGTTCATTGGTCTGCCGCCAAACGTGTTCTTCGGTTCTTAGCTGGTTCGAGTTCTGCCGGTATTTTCTTTGCCTCTGCTAATACCTCCTCACTTCATGCATTCAGTGATTCTGACTGGGCTGGGGATCCTGCTGATTTCAAATCCACTGGTGCATATATTGTCTATCTGGGTCGGCATCCGGTGTCTTGGTCGTCCAAGAAATTGTCTGGTCATTCGCGATCCTCCACCGAGGCAGAATACCGCTCTATTGCGAACACGTCGGCTGAGCTACGGTGGTTATCCTCACTCCTCGTTGAACTTGGCTGCTCATTGCCCTCTCCTCCGGTGATCTATTGTGATAATATCGGTGCCACTTATCTTTGTGCCAATCCGGTGTTTCACTCTAGGATGAAACACTTAGCGCTGGATTATCACTTTGTTCGCAGCCAAGTCAATGAAGGCTCCCTTCGTGTGTCTCACGTAAGCTCCAAGGATCAGCTCGCCGATGCTCTGACGAAGCCGCTTCCCCGTTCCTCCTTTCACGATCTCTGTATCAAGATTGGTGTCTCCTCCGGTCCACCATCTTGCGGGGGCGTATAGGAGAGTTTCATAATATCTTTATGAATATTTTGATATCTCTCAATTATAGGAAGTTGTTGTAATTAGGTCTAATATACGTGTGTATATATATCATCATAAACCATCAATAGAAGTTAAGCATTCCAATTATCTTACACCAGAACCCCCCCCCCCCCTTTTTTTT